CCCCCTCCCCCCGTCACCATGCACTGTATCTTAGGACAGGAGCCAGTCAAGGCCTCTGGGAGGCAGAAGGGCAGAATCATCTAGAAAAGATCCCAGGGCTGGGCTGCACCGGGGTGATATCCACACCGTGGAGGTCGACACTCAGGATGACCCCACTCCCAGAAGTGGGGGGCACTGTGGCCGCTCTCCTAGATGAGTTCAGGGGCCTGGAGAAGGGGTGAGGGCGGCCACCAGTGACCAGCTGCAGGGGCGAGGGTCACGCACACGCCAGGGCCCGACGGACGCCTCGTGGCGTGAGGTACGGAAGAGCCTGGCCGGCCCCGGCCGCCCCTGGAGACGTCCAGCAGGACGGAACTGCAGACACTCGGACCCACACCCAGTCGGGAGGTGCTTTCTCTGTGGGAGCTGCAACGCTCTGAGGCCAGCGTTGGCCAGTGCCAGTGTGTCCCTGGTTCAAGGCCGGCCAGAGCACCGGCACCGGCCCCTGTAAGACAGGCTGCTAACGTCGTCCTCCCCACACCACCGGCCCGGTGTAAGGATTTGAACTCGGGGCCTGGCCCTTCCTGCCCGTGTGGAGCCAAGTGGCTCTTAGCAGCCTGGCTGGAGCTGCTCTGATCTGGGATCTGATAGATCAGCCCCTTCCTGCCCCCCTGCCCAACGCTGAGCTGCTCTTGGGGAGCTTGTGCCTCCGCTGAGGGACACCTGGGGGGGTTCATCGAGTCACCACATCCACAGCACCCTCAGAGCGGGTGGGGAGCCCCCCAGAGACCAGAAAGCAGGTCTTCATCCTTCTGGTTTTACAACAGGTATATACAGTTCTCTTGGAAAAAAAATACCAAAGGGCTAGTGGCTAAAGCAAGACCCTGTCCTAAATATAACCAGTGGGAGAGGGCTGGGGGTGTGGTGCGGCAGCCTCGTGCCAGGGGGGCAGGCCCAAGGCCCCGAGTTCAAGCCCCAGGGCTGCAGATTCATCAGTCAACAAATACCATGACCTGTGCTGACCAAACACGGTCCACCTCACAGACAGGCCCCGGCCCGGATCCCGGTGCCTCTCAGCTGGGGGTGCAGAGGTCAGGGGCCAGGGGCAAACATTCAGTCTCCTCTGAGGACAGAGGTCATTTCCAGACATCCTACAGATAAAACCCACACCCGTGTGCTTGGCAATGGAAAGAGAGGAGGGGAAATCTCCTTGGAACGTCCCCCCCAGCACATCCTGGAGGAGGCAGGACCGAGCTGTGTGCGGTGCACATGCAAGATCAAGTCCGGAGAATTCCGGAACTGCTCCAGGGTGGACCTGGGGGTGGACGGAAGGAGCTGGCCGAGCTCTGCTCCCGGCTGCTCCGTCTGTGAGCAGCCTGGCAGGAAGGGCCGAGGAGGGTCTGGCGGGACACACCGTGCCGGAGGGAAGGCGGGCGTCCTCGGGGAGAGGGCCGGGAGGCGGCGCGGGCTTCCAGCCCTGTTCTGACAGTGCCCTGCAATCAGCCTCCCCAAAGAGGGACACCGGCGAGGGGCGCGGGGCGCCGTGTTGGATGTCCATTCGAGGGGGGGACATAGCGGTGGTCTGATCCTCGGGGACCCCACGGAGCAGGGGTCCAGGGCTCCTCCCAGCAAGAGCCTCCCTGGCGGCCATGGGCTGCAGCAGCAGAGGCTGCTGGCCCCGTGGGAGGATGGAAGGGAGGATGGGAGCCCCCCCCGCAGCCCTGTTGGGGCCTGGGTGTGAGAGGTGCGGTTCTGATGAGTGGAGAATGGCACCCCAGGACCCCAGCTGCCCCCTGCGGGCCCATGCACGGGAGCTGTCTCCCCGGTTCCCATCGACCCCAAGGTCAGAGGTTGCAGTCAGACGCGGCCACCTCGCGGGATTCTGTACAGCCCGGAAGTGACCCGACAGTGTTCCAGAAAGTTCTAGCAGATCAGTGACAGCACCCTCATGGCCGGGTCGGGACAGGACAATGCCGGGAGAGGGGCGAGACCTGACCCGGCGCCTGGCTGTCCTCTACCTCTGGCCTTCCAGCGTCTCTGCTCTCCCGTGGTCCCGGCCCCTGCCCTGCGGGCTGCTGCTCAACCAGCCCGGGGTCCAGGGCCGTGAGGAGACCCCGCCACACAGCCAGGCACCGAGCCCCAAGAGCTGCGGCCTGGCCCTGGTGAGGGACACCCACAAACAGACGCAGGGGCGGCCAGCTGCCTTCCTCTCTTTAATGAAGGGGGAAGCGGGGGGGGGGCAGCAAGTCAGCATGGGGGAGGGTCCGGGGCGGGGGGGGGAGGGGACCTGGCCCTCCCAGGACGGGCTGTCCTCTGGCTCAGGGGTGCTTGGGACGTGGCGGTGGATCCAGTCTAAGTAGTAGGTGACGCGGGTGTAGACGCCGGGCCGGTTGGGGTGCGCACAGCCCTCGCCCCAGCTCACCACACCCGCCTGCAGCCACGTGCCGTTCACCCTGCACACCAGCGGCCCGCCGGAGTCGCCCTGGGGAGGCAGAGGCCCGGGGAGTGGAGGCCGGGGCTGGGGGGAGGCCAGGGGGGGAGGGCCCGGCCGAGGGGGCGCGGGGTTCCGGGGAGTGGAGGCCGGGGCTGGGGGGAGGCGGGGGGGGGGAGGGCCCGGCCGAGGGGGCGCGGGGTTCCGGGACCCACCTGGCAGGAGTCCTTCTGGCTGTTTCCGGCGCACAGCATGTCATCCTGGATAATGTGGATGTTGTCGCATTGTGGTACTTGGCGTCACAAAGACGGTTTTCCACGATGGGGACCTTGGCTTGCTTCAGGGGGAAGGGCGGTGGGAGGGGCTCTGGAAGAGGGGAGGCCTCAGCGGGAGCCCGAGCAGCCCCAGGTCTGGGGGGGATGAGGGGAGAGCCGGCCCCCCCAGCCACCCGCCCATGCAGCCCCAGGTCTGGGGGGGATGAGGGGAGAGCTGTTCCCCCCCCTCCACCCACCCGAGCAGCCCCAGGTCTGGGGGGGATGAGGGGAGAGCCTGCCCCCCCCGCCACCCACCCGAGCAGCCCCAGGTCTGGGGGGGATGAGGGGAGAGTCGTTTCCCCCCCCGCCACCCACCCGTGCAGCCCCAGGTCTGGGGGGATGAGGGGAGAGTCGTTTCCCCCCCCCGCCACCCACCTGTGCAGCCCCAGGTCTGGGGGGGATGAGGGGAGAGCCGGCCCCCCCCAGCCACCCGCCCGACCGCCGGCCCCACATACCCTCATCCTTCACGTCTCCCCAGCCCGTCACCCAGCATGGGGTGCCCGCGGGGAAGGGCTCCGAGGTAGGGGGCAGGGACATGGGCCGCACGCGGCCAGAGACGTTCACGGGCTCCTCCAGCTCCAGCAGGGCGATGTCGGCCCGGTCTGTGCGGCGTAGTAGTCGGGGTGGGGGACGACGCGGCGGACGGGCAGCAGCCGGTCGCGGTAGTAGAGGTGCTGCTGGCGGAGCTGCACGCGGAGGAGCTCAGGGGGGAGGATGTGCCTGGGGGGGAGCAGCCCTGCTCGGGAGGGCCGGCCGGGCCCAGGGGCGCACGGGGGTGCTGCCCCCCAGCCCGGCCCCCCCACTCACGGTCCCACGCAGTGCGCGGCGGTGAGCACCCACTGCGGGTGGATGAGCGAGCCCCCGCAGATGTGCTTCCAGTAGACGAGGTGGACTCTCAGGCTCACCTGCCAGGGCCACGTGTTCTTCGGGGCCTCCTGGCCCCCCACGATGCCCGCCCGCCCCATGGCGGGGCTCGGGGCTGCACAGGGGGAGATCTGACCACCGGCCGCGGCCCGCGCCGGGCCCGCCCTCCCCAGCACCAGGGCAGCCCTGAACCCCCTTCACCCCAGCCCGCAGGTCCTGGGGCTGGGGACAGGAGGGGCCTAGGAGGGACTCACCAGGAGCGGCCAGGGCCAGGCTGGACAGGAGGGCCAGTGCCAGCAGCGGGAGCATCTGCAAGCAGCCGGGAGAGGACGGAGCGCGGGCTGCCGAGTGGACCTGGGGCGTCCAGGCCCCAGGCTGACGCCCAGCCGCCCCCCCCCCAGGCCTCGAGGACACGGTGCCGGACTTACCCTCACCGTCGCCTCTTCTCTCCATCTGGGGCCCGTCCCGCCCCCATTTATCCCTGCAGACTGGCATGGGGCAGGGGCGGAGGAGGGGCACCCCATCCTGACATGGAGGAAGTCCTGACTCAGACGCCTCGCCCGCCCCCACCCCCCACGTGCCCAGCCGGGGGCCACGGAGCGCAGCACCGCACTCCTGTGGGCCCGTGGTGGCCAGGAAGCCTGGACCAGCCCCCGGGGTCCTCCAGGGCCGCCCAGGGCCCGCCACGTCCGTCAGATCGGGGTTCCCCACTGTGGACTGGGCACTGGACATCCCAGGGTCCCCCTCCCGGCTGGCGGGCTCTGGTGCTGGGGCAATGCGGCAGCCAGCGGCTGGGGTGCGGCCCCTGCCTCCTGCCGGGGCAGCGTGGGTCTCCCGAGGGGGCCTCAGACTCAGGGCCGCCCCCCAACTGTGCGCCACCCCCTGCAGCGCGTCTCCCCAAGGAAACACGAGGCAGGAAGCGGCGTCTGTGGGCCGCGTCCTGTACCCGAGTCCTCCCCCCACCGCGGGAAGATCATATGAGACCCTTATCAGAGCAGGGGGAAGCAGCAGCAGCGTTGGCCGGCCCACGGTCCAGCAGATAACCCCCGGGCTCCGCTCTGGGCTTCACCCCCAACTCTGCTGACCCTACTCGGCATCTCAGACATCTGAACCCCAGCAGCAGGGGGGGCCGCGTGTGGGGGTCAGGGCCACGACAGCACCAGAGGCCGGCACCAGCCTCCTCTGGGAACCCCTCCCCCCACCTCCCGCCCAGGCTGACACCGACCGTCCCACCCCTCCAGCCCCTCCTGCTCGCCCCGGCCTGCTGTCCTCCACTCCCAGCCCCTCCTCACCTCCGGGCCTGATCCTGGCCGTGCTAGGCCTAGGCCTCGCTGTCGCTCCCAGCGCCCCTCCCGCCGCCCAGGGCAGGTCCTGAGCCCAGCGCCTGCCCTCACACCCCGGGGGCACATCGGTGTCCGGCCCGGCACATCTGGTCCCGTCCCCATTCATTCTCTAACAACTTCTCTGGGGGTCATTCAAGCCCAACGCTGACAAGAAAGGACCTACCGGGGCTGGGAAGGTGGCTCAGTGGTAGAGCGCTTGCCTTGCATGCATGAGGCCCTGGGTTCGATTCCTCAGCACCACATAAGCAGAAAAAGATGGAAGTGGTGCTGTGGCTCAAGTGGCAGAGCGCTAGCCTTGAGCAAAAGAAGCTCAGGGACAGCGCCCAGACCCTGAGTTCAAGCCCCAGGACTGGCCAAAGACAAAAAGACCAGGCAAGCCAGGCTCCAGTGGCTCACGCCTGTCATCCTAGCTACTCAGGAGGCTGAGATCTGAGGATCATGGTTCAAAGCCAGCCTGGACAGGAAAGTCTATAAACTCTTTTTTTTTTTCTTCTTTTTTTTTTCTCTGGGCCTGGGCGCTGTCCCTCAGCTCTTCAGCTCAAGGCTAGCGCTCTACCACTTGAGCCACAGCGCCACTTCCAGCTTTTTCTGCTTATGTGATGCTGAGGAATGGAACCCAGGGCCTCAGGCATACAAGGCAAGTGCTCTACCACTGAGCCACCTTCCCAGCCCTGTGAGACTCTTTATCTCCAATAAACTACCAGAAAGCCAGAATGGCGCTGTGGCTTGTGGTAGAGCGCTCGCCTTGAGCTGAGGAGCGCAGGGACAGCGCCCAGGCCCAGAGCTCAAGCCGCACGACTGACAAAAAAAAAAAAAAGGTCCAGGCACTGGGTGCTGCTTCCTCCGCGGCCGATCCCTGCTCTGATAAGGGTCTCATATGATCTTCCTGCGGGGGGTGGGTGGGGAGGACTCGGGGTACAGGACGCCGCTGGCCCAAACCGCTTCTTTGAAGGTGGCCCACCGCTTGAGCCACAGCTCCATTTCGGCTTCTTGGTGGTTAACTGGAGGTGAGAGGCTCTTGGACTTCACTTGCCTTGGCTGTCTCTGAACCTCCAGTCTCTGATCTCAGCCTTCCAAGTAGCTAGGATTAGAGGGGTGAGCCGCAGGCTCCCCCTAAAAATGCAGCTAAAGCACGCGCTCACCGACCTCTGTCACTGTCACCCCTCAGTAATCACCTTTATAGTACCAATAGAAAGTTAAAAACCAAAACCACACCGCCACACCCCTGCACGCCCCCTCGGGAACCAGCGCCCAGCCAAAACCCCTCGGGAGCGGGCGCCCCGGCCAACCCCTCTTGGGAATGGGTGGTTGGCCGACCCCCCTCAGGAGTGGGTGGCTGGCTGCCCCCCCCTCGGGAGCCAGCACCCCGGCCAACCCCCCTCAGGAGCCAGCGCCCTGGCCGACCCCCCTCGGGAGCAATCACCCCGGCCAACCCCCTCAGGAGCAATCACCCCGGCCGACCCCCTCAGGAGCAATCACCCCGGCCGACCCCCTCGGGAGCCTGTGCCCCTGCCGACCCCCCTCGGGAGCCAGCGCCCCAGCCGACCCCCCTCGGGAGCCTGTGCCCCGGCCGACCCCCCTCAGGAGCCTGTGCCCCGGCTGACCCCCCTCGGGAGCCTGTGCCCCAGCCGACCCCCTCGGGAGCCTGTGCCCCGGCCGACCCCCCTCAGGAGCCTGCGCCCCGGCCGACCCCCCTCAGGAGCCTGCGCCCCAGCCGACCCCCTCGGGAGCCTGTGCCCCAGCCGACCCCCTCGGGAGCCTGCGCCCCGGCTGCCCCCCTCGGGAGCCTGCGCCCCGGCTGCCCCCCTCGGGAACCTGTGTCCCGGCCGCCCCCCTCGGGAGCCTGCGCCCCGGCTGCCCCCCTCGGGAGCCTGCGCCCCGGCTGCCCCCCTCGGGAACCTGTGTCCCGGCTGACCCCCTCGGGAGCCAGCGCACAGCAGCCTTGGTCCTGGGAGCCCAGCTGGAGGCTCCATGGGGGCCCCTGCGCCGCGGGGTCCTGTCCGCGTGACGCCGGCACCCAGCCCTGGAGGAACCCAACCGCGCAGGGGCACCAGGAGCGCAGGGGTGGCGCGAGGCAGGGAGCCGGGACAGTGCGGCGGAGGGTGGACCGGCCAGGCCCATGGCGCCTCGCGGTCCTGGCCGCCCCGGGACCTCGGCTCCCGGCCTCTGCGGGACCTCGGGACGCTGCGGCCTTTCTCCAGCTTTGGTGCTTGGCTGGGCGGCTGCTGGCACCCCGCTCAGCTCCACTCTAGCGAGCGCCCGGCTGGCTTAGCTGGGGCCGGGCTGGCCACACGGGCCACGGCCCCCGGGGAGGAGCCGCGGCGGTGGGCGAGGGGGGGAGGATCGCATGCGGGGACCGCGGCCTTGGAGGCCAGGCACGTGGGTGACGGTGGGGGACACAGGGGTCTCAGGTGGCTGGTAGCCTCCCTCCCTGTCCCTCCCCAGAGGCCGGGGATGAGGACAGAGGCATGGAGAGGCTCGGGTGCACGGGTCTGTGCCCCACCCGCCCTGAGTCCTGCCAGCCCCGAGTCCCCGCCAGCCTCCATTCCCTTGTCTGAAGCCGGCGTGGAGACGGAAGGCGCGGGCGCCTCTGCAGAGCAGCGCTTGTGCTCAAGCAACACTGGACGCGGCGGCGTTGGCGGCACTTTTATTCAGCAGAGCCAGGGAGCAGAGACAACCCGGGGCCTTCAGCAGTTGGACTCTCCAGGTCACAGCTGGACTCTCCGTGTCGCAGCCTGCGCCCGGCCCCGCCCCGCCCCCAGGACCTTCCCCAGCAGGCGGCCGGTCAGCGGGGGGCCTCGCCGCCCCCCATCTCCCGGTCAGAGCAGTCCAGGCTCCCGCAGGCCAGAGGGGGCCGGGCTCGGGGGTCCAGGCGGAGCTCGGCGGTGCGGGAGCGGGCAGCCGTGCCCCGCGCCCCGGCTGGGCTCAGGAGAACCTCTGCACCTGCTTCAGGACCCAGGGCACGAAGGTCTGGACGCGGGCGTAGACGCCGGGCACGTCGATCAGGGCGCAGCCGTAGCCCCAGCTGACCACGCCCAGCAGCGTCCAGGCGCCCGACACCTTGCAGACCAGGGGCCCTCCCGAGTCGCCCTGGGGGAGAGGGGGAAGGACGAGGAGGCCGTGAGGGAGGGGCGGGCAGCAGGGTGGGGAGGGGCGGGCGGGCGGAGACTCACGTAGCAGGAGCCGCGGCCGAAGCCGCCGGCACACAGCATGTCCCCCTGGATGAACCTGCGGCCTCGGAAGCGGTGCCAGGTGGCGTTGTGGAACTTCTCCTCGCAGACGGCGTTGCTCACCACCCGCAGCTTGGCCTCCTGCAGGCGGTAGGGCGGCGGCAGCGAGGCTGGGGAGAGAGGCGGGCGGGGGTGACGGCGCGGCCCTCACCCGGGCAGGACCCCCGCGGGCCTCCGCGGCCAGGCCTCCGCGGCCGGGCCTCCGGTGCGGGGGGAGGGGCCGGCGCTCTGCTCTGCGGACCCGGCCCAGCACCAGCTTCCCCCCACCGTGACTGAGGGGCACGGCCCCAGTGCCTCCCCGACTCCCCTCAGCCCCCCACACTCACAAAACAGGCTGACGGCGCCCCAGCCCGTCACCCAGCACTGGTCCAGCGAGGCGGCGTCCAGGGAGGCGGACGGCAGTCTGACGGGCTTGACGTCGGCCGAGCAGTGCGCGGGCTCCGCCAGCCGCAGCAGCGCCACGTCCGAGCCCAGCATCCAGTGCACGTAGTCCTGGTGGACGACGATCTTGCTCACGGCCAGCAGCTGCTGGCCCCCGTACAGGTACACGTCCCCCACGTGCACCCGGAAGGCCGCCGGGTCCGCGTCCCGCCTGGGGTCAGAAGGAGGTCACGCAGGAGCTCGCTGCCCCGGGGCCCGGCCCGGCACGGGCAAAGGCGCGAAGCCCCAGAGCCCGGGAGCCCGGGGTGGACTCACCGGCGGATGCAGTGGGCGGC